GTTTATATAAAATATATTTATAATTTATAATGTATATGGAAAATATATTTTAAATTTTTAAAATTATATAAATTTAATAACTAGTAATAATAATAAATTTAATAATTAGTATTAATTTTTATGATTTATATTATTATATACAGTTTTATGTTTTTATAATATTTAATTATTTTATTATAATTTTTTAATATTATATTTTTTAATAATATCATATAATTATGTTAATAAAATAATTAGACAATGGAAATAGTAATTATTCATTGTTATTTAAATATTTTATTTAAAACATTTTCTCAAGATATGCTTTATTATATTAAAACTTTACATATTTGAAAATTATTGTTGAATAAAAGTATAGAAAATATTATTTTCTTTATGTTTATAGTTATATGGTGATATTTTTTACAGATCCTGTAATAATGTCTGTGAAATCATCAACTTCTTATGCACAAGAAGATTTAGATCTTATTAATTCTGAAATTTTGAATTTAGAACAATCTATATCTCCATTGAATTCTGGTGCCAGAACACCAAAATCTGATAGCTGTGGAGAAACATGTTCTTCTCGACCAGAATCATCAGCTGATTCCTTTAATTTATTAGATTCAACAGAATTAATTGATAATGGATATAAAGCTTTAAGTATGAAAGAAGAGAATATATCTCCTATAAAACATCAAGAGATAAATAAAAATTCAGAAATAGAAGTTAACACTATGGCAGTGCAATTAGGTATTGTTGAATCTGATATAACAATGAAACATATACAAAAGGATTTAGTTATTAAAGAAGAACTGAAAAATATTAAAATAGAAGATGAGAAAACATCAGAAGAATTAAAGCCAAAAATTTTTAATCGAGGTGGATTAAAATTTTTTCCTGGAGCCAAATTAGAAGCAAAAGATTTTAATGAAAAATGGTAAACATTTATTTTAATATCAATTAATTATAATTGACTAAATATATTGATAAATATAAACAAATTTTTATAAGTAATTATTTTTTACATTGTAGGTATTCAGCAAAAGTAGTTGAAACTGATTGGGATGAGCGGGAAGTCTTGATACGTTTTGATAAGTGGAGTTCAAGATTTGATGAATGGATACCTATGGATAGTTCTAGATTACGTGTATTACAAACACAATCAAAGTAAGTCAAAGTAAAATTTCAATAAATCTATTACAAAATTATTTAAATTAGTAGATATAAAAAATAAAAAATTGTATATATAAATAATTGTTGACCTGATTTATTATATAAAATATGTTCTGAATTACTTATAGATTTATTTTTTTTTAAAGCGAACAAACCTGGAATCTACCATCTCTGTAAGTGGATATTGTATAATTATTAGCTAGGTCAAAATTTGTATATTTTATAGCAGTTTTTGCAATTATAAAAAATATTAAATTATTTTATTTCTTATAAAATCAATAGTAAATTTTCATTTTTCTCTCATCTCTTTTATCTATTATGTTATATAAACATTTTTTATGTAAATTTTTAAGTTATAAATCCTCGTAATTATTAATTTTATTTAAATTATTATTAAAAAATTGAAAAAAAAATTTGAAAAATTTTTTACTTTTATAAAATATTGTCTTAATTAAAAAAGAGGAAAAAAAATTCTTAATTTATATTTAAATATTATTTTGCATTTCATATTTATATAGAATGAATTGATTAAAAGAAATTTTTTTTTAATAATTAATTTTAATTTTTAATTTGATATTAAGAAAAAACTTTATGAAAATTATAT